GGAACACTACACCTTTCCCGTTGGCCAACTCTGGGCTGGGATGGTAGAATTTATCGTCTGGCCATATGGGAGCAGCTCATAGTGAGATTCCCTTCCCATCTCACCGAACACACAGATGAACCTTCCTGGCCCGGCTTGATATTGTCGTATGTGATCCATTTATCGTCGCCAGTCACCACCCGCTTCAAAAATGGGTCGAGCTCGTGTCCGTTGGAACGGTGTAATCTATATTTTTTTCTTCAAATTGTGCAATTTTTTACAAAAGGTTACTCTGTTCTCAAACCAACCAAGTTTTAGTAAAGATTATATCAGATATAGGAAATACGGAAGTCGATAAAAACGAAATGCAATGAAGTTCCCGAAAGAGCTGACAAACGGATCAAGGAGAGAAGAAACGGGAGACATGCAGCATCGCCAAAATCATGTGCAAGAAGGACGAAGAGAAACACGTATGCTTTTTACTCAAGTAGTCTCGAAAGGACTACAGGCAGGTCTTGTGGCAGGTCACTAAAGTGGTTGGAAAGTAGGCATTAGAAGCATTGCTTCCGTCCAATCTTATCTAAAACTAGTCTCAGACATTTAGAAGCTTCGCAGTACATGGGACCAGATGACGTATCAAAACTAAGTATCAAGTCGTTCTTAAAGTACGCATAAAGCGTTGACGTCTTGTAAGCTCAAATTTCAATGAACCTCCATATGATATTACCTAGGACCAGTATACGGATATAACCTAGCATAACCTAACCGAACGTGAGATAATAAAACCATAAAGTGGACTAACTCTTCCGTAAAACTACATATTCGTGAAGTTCAGACTAAATTTTGATAGCCATAATGCTTACACTGATTTAAATAAAGGCTTTCAAATCTCAATCAAAAATATTTCACAAATATGTTTTGGAAATGGATAATCGTAATATTCAAGATTAGCGATATAAATGTATTATGGTAACAAGAAAAATTCAATTAATATGGATTCTTTCTGACGACATCAACTTTTCTAAAAAAAAAATATATATATATAATATGTCAACCCCCAACTGAAGCTCGCAATTTCGCAGTGAAGATGAATCGTTGCGGTTAATCACAATTGTCGCGTTTTCGCATTCAAACAATCGCGAGACCCACTATTTTTCTTTTTGCGGGCAAATAAAAACAAGGCAAACGTTCCCGCGGTTACCGCAGTGCAAACACAAATATTGTTTACCTCTTCCCCCCATCACAGCGCCACAATGAGCCGTGCACACTTCAGGGGACATGTCAGCACAGAACATATACCAATTTGTACCGGAGGCGGTGAAATATGCATAGAACAAGGTAAACAGCAACAACAACAGGTCACGCCGAACAGGATGGCAGGAAGACACGCTGACTACCATGAAGCGCTGCATGCGGCATCGTATGTCAAAATAAACAAGTTCATGTCATTGCAGAAATTTCATTTAATTTGCTTTGGCGTGTGGTTGTCGCGAGGAACAAGCCCAAATACACACATTTGTGCGAATGTATTTGTGGTTGGGGGTACAAATGTTGACTGCGTTAAATGAATAAGAGTGAAAAATGGCTAAGGACTTGGCGACAGCGGAAGCGCTCAAGCGACCAGGGCACCCAACGAGCCGCTGGTGGTATTCGCGAGCTCTCACACACTGCATGTGTATATATGTATGTATGACGGCATATGAACAAACCGTCATCGCGAAAGCAGCCAAGTAAAAATGCGCGTTCAACGGAATTTCGCGGACTACTGAACCTCAACTCAAACGCAACCTGCGCACGCCCCTTATCCTCTATTGTCTTTTTTCTGCCTTCAGGAAGGCGTTCAAATTGCAAATTACCGCCGCTGATGAGGGCAGCGTTGCCGCGGAAGCAAAAAATTATGCGTTTTATAAATATGACTTAGCGGGAGGCACACGCCAACAACAAAAATGAACGCTAATTTCTGCCAATATGTGTGTGTTAGTATGTTTGTGCGTGGGTTGTTTGCCATCTTCGTAAAGGGTCGCTGATTTTCCGTACCGTTATTTTGCGTATTGTCAATTTTCGCAAATTTCGTAATTTTTTTCTTCCTTAAATTTTTTATAGCATTGATCATTGTTGTTGCTGTTCTCTGAGTCATGTGGTAATTGGATAATGCGATACTTTGGTGTGATTTGAGGCGCGTTAAGTGAATTAGATTGGTTGTGGAAGGTACGGAAGATGGATGGCAGAGCAAATTAATATGTTTTTGTAATAATGAAAATGTGACATATGCAGGCACAGACAGATAGATATAATATAAGCGAACTAAGTGCAGTACTGTGAGCAAACAGTGTAGTGGTTACAGAAAACATTCAATCGTGTCCTATATTATCTTTAATTAGGTATATATTTCAATCTTCGCAAACTTAGATAAAATTTGGTTACAACGTAATGCTTCCTCAGTAAGTATAATTATGTTCTATCTAAGTTGGTATTATTATTCAGTTGAAATTATATATATTTTCAGTTGAGATTTCGCTCTGGAGAATAACAACAAGATATTGTGAGGCAAACGCTGTCGAAAACTCTTCCAACGAGCCGAAAACTATGTCGGGCGTGATTGGGTTGATCTTCAAAGAACGGTGTCCTCCCTATTTTCATCACCATTGAAATCTTAGAGAATTCATACAGTAGTCTCATAATGATGAAATCGAAACAAATAATGAAACTCATCTTTCAATTGAATGGGGTCCAGCCCCAACCGCAAAATGCTTATATTATATAAGTTTATTCATTAAGAATACTAAGTGATTGCAAACAAGAAATAAACCGGCACTGTTCCTAACGTTTCCTATGGCTTTATTCAGGCAGCTGTAAAGCTGATGAACTATCAACAGAATGAGAACAGTTCGGTGCTCCTTTCTCCTCCAGTATTTTACTACTGGGAGTATTGGGATACCATCGGCTCATGTGATGTCGCAAGGTCTTTTACACCCAAGATGGATCATAAGAGATCCACAGAGCTTCTTGCCTTCGGTAAAGCTAGCATCTCCCTAGTTGTGGGAGTTCTAAGGTCATTATCCTATCGGCCTCCATAAGACTTAAAATCTTGCTGGGCGACAGCAGCAGAAACTGTATGGAAGAAGACGATTTGGAAACATCTCAACACCTCTATCTTGATTGTCCCGCGTTTATGCGATCACGACCTAAAAACTCTCAAAAATTCCATAACACTGGTGCGAATAGAAATTAATCGGCTTTTTGGTCCTGTGCTCTTTGCTAGCTTCTAAGGTCAAACATATGAGTTCTTTTTTAAAGACTTCGAAAGAACTACATATAGTGGCTTAAGTGCCATATCTGGATTAGCCATATAATCTAAACAAACCTTAACCAAAAGTCATAGTTTTTTGGTAAAAGTTTATGATGAATATCCTCTAGCTGAAGGAGAGCTCCGTGACACTAAGGTAATGCTCTTTATATGGTGGCATCAGCCGACGACGGTCCGACGGTTCATGCAAACTGAAACTTGAGTAAAAATTGAGATACCTTGACGAAACTTCGTATGCCCGTTCAACAAGAAGAGAATTACGAGTTCATATACGGGCGTAATCGGACTACTTCCACGCCCACAAAACGGCATTACCTGAAAACCAAGAAAGTACCAAGTATTATAACTATTAATTAAGATATAGAACTGTAATTTAGCAAAGTTGATCGCAGTAGCAAGAACCACCAAATTCACCTAGCGCAAATGCTATGGTATTAGAACTCCTACCTATAATGTGAAAATGGATGAAATCAGAACATAGCCTCTCTCCCTCTACATATACCCGAACTACATACAGTACGATAAATCAAAACAGAGACAAGAAATGTTATCTGGTATGATAGGGTTTTAATGTGCAGCGACGACGAGCGTGGCACCGCCCACTTTTAGGTGAAAACACTTATATCTAAACTATTCTTATTGATTTAAACCAAATTTGGTGTATGCCATTCTCCTGAAATTTTTATGTTACTTTGTGAAAACGAGCGAAATCGGTCTACTGCATAAATCAAGAAGCTACTAATATAATGGGATGTATGAGATATAATTATTAATTATAATTTAAAGATAATCCTTTCCTTATAGTAGTATGTTTGTTTAGCTCCCATCTACTTAAGACAAACAATCTGGACCTTTCGGTCATTTTATATAGCATATATCGCCTAATATGTTGGAAAAGAGTGTTTTTCATATACCAGTACATATTTGTGTTTAGAATGAATAAAATCGGGTGAAAACTCGCACTAGACCCCATACAACTAACAGGCCTTATTTGTTAATTTATAAGGTTATGTTTTAGCATTTTATATGTACTTAAATATTTAACCCTATATTTATTAATTTAAGGTGATACATAAGGCCGTTAGATGAACTAAACTTTTATACTCTGTGGCAAAATATAAAAGCAGAAAAATATATGCATTTTCACGGACTCCTCAGAGGCTATTAGTTATTATTATACAAGTGGATTTACGTGTGGAAACTGAGAGCTTCTGCATTTTATAACTGTACATAGCTTCTACAGCCCAGTTTGTAGTTTTTGAAAATTTTTAAAAACACTTTACATACACACATACACCTTCCAGTATTGGAAAAAACTTTTGAGATATGCTATGAACAATAAAGAAATTCTAAATAAGAAAATTAAGAGTAATAAATTTCGGCAAAAACAACAAAAAATAGGTCTCATTAAGTATATATTTTTTGACCTGGTTTCGTTTCCTAAAATTCGTTAGTTTACCAAAAAAAAAAAAATTCCAAATTTCCAAAGTTTGTATGAATCAGAAAATTATTCGAAGTTTGAGGGATAATTTTTTTTTTTTAATAATGGGTACCGCATTAACTTCTTTTAAAGACAGTAATACTTGTTAAAAACTTCATATATGACATACCCCATATGAAATAATGAACAAACGACAAAATAGTTGATAATTGGTATAGAATTAGAACGAATGATATATACATAACTAATAGTATTTCAATTCATTTCACTTACCCTTGCCTTCCACGTATTAACTCCATGGCGTGTGATTACTTTTCTACAATTGCTGAATGATTGACCGCTAACTCGCGAATTACGCTCAATTAATTGCTAATAACGAATTAAACCCGAAGCGCGACGCCTATATCACGTTAACCGACACAAATCTGCATAATAAAGCAGCCACTCACTGCACACATTAAGGTTAACACTTACACCAAGCGCGGCAACAATTAATTAACACTTCGCGCACATTTAAAATATATCGTCACCTGAAATGCAAAATAACGTAACAAAATTTTCGCAAACTTACAATGGCATGAATGAAACACAAAATAAATGGATCATTAGTGAAACAAAATTATAATATCTGTTAAAACTGGTTTACATCTGACTGCAGAACCTGAAAATGTTGAACATATGCAATATTATGTATGTAATTTGAAGTAGTGAAGCACACAATTTCGAATTTTTTGATGATACCTTATTTTGCATTTCAGATGACGATATGTAATTATTTCACTGATTTTATTGAGATATTGATTAATAAAAATAAATTTAAAAAAACGAACGGATTTACTTTAATTATGGCCTCTACTGGGGCGCAATTTTTTCAATTGGAATGACTTTCCATACAGATATATTAACTAAAAGCTTCTATTTCTTGTAACACGATTTTTTAAACTTGAAATTTTTTTTATGGAAACACATTTTTCTTAAATTCGATTTTTTTTTTTTACACCACTAAACTTGGACTACAAAGCTATAGAGACTTTTATTTTCGCACATTTTTTTAACATTTACACATTTTACACATTTTACACTTTTCGCACATTTTGCACTATATTTAAGCGCATTAAAGAACCGCGAATCACAACTGTAAACACTAACACCCGAACGAAGTGACAATCGATTGGCAACTAATCTGTTCGCAGTTCGTTTACTCGCTGAAAGAATCAAGTGATCGCACTTTTGAGTGAAATTTACAGTTTCTTAAGAATTCGTTGTTCTTTGAGAGCTGAAACGAATAAAAATAAGAAGAAATTAAAATTTAATAAGAAAAAGAATTAGTAAAAAAATTAAAGAATAAAAATAAGAAATAATTAAAATTAAAAAAAAAAAATAATAATAATAATAATTAAAAATAATAAAAAATTTTTTAATTTATAAAAGAATTAAAAATATGTTTAAGTCAAAATGGCAGTTAATATAAAAACCTTGTTTCAATTTATTTTAAAATAAATCAAGCAAATTGTCAGCTTTATGCCATAGTGGTTCGAACTAAAAAAAAAAAACTCTTTCGAATATTGTATTGCCTTTTTAGAAAATAATACATGCCAAATTTGGTGAAGACAAACTTGTCAGTTAAAAAATTTTTGGCAGCTATATGCTATAATGGTCCGATCCAAAAAATTTACCTAATTATAGTACTATGGACTTGGATAATAATCTATACCAAAAATAATTTGTTAAATGGGAAAATTTTCCATACAAGGACTTGACGCCGATGGTTCAGATTGTATGGCAGCTATATGCTATAGGGGTCCGATCCAAAATTTCAGTTCGATATCTCAAAAATTATAGTACTAGCTTGCATTTATACAGACACAAGGACATGGCTAAATCGACTCAGCACGTCACGCTGATCTTTAAATTTATAGGATCTTCAACATTTCCTTCTATTACAAACTTCATGGCAAACTTTATATCTTCTGTATAGGTTATAAATACTCTAAGTCAACAAAAACTACTTAAAAACCTTCTACTCTCATCTTCAATTTAAATTTAAAGTGTGTTAAGCAAGTCCCAAGCCACAGCAAACACGTTCGTCCACCAACCGTAATTTATGCCAGAGTAAATATATGAGGCAATATTAAAATAACGTCGAGTCACCACTTCACTACGCATAAATCAATTTTGTTCGATAGGTTTCAAGACACCACTGCGAACCCCAAACGGCGCGTCTTAACCGAGCTACTGCCACAGCCAAACACCTGCCGCCAACGTGTCAATATCGAATTGCCAAAACGCGTGCACGCACACCCACACACAAGGTCAACAGCTGTTTGTTGTGTATAAAAATTTGGGTTGCTTGCCGCGGAAGGGACTATAATTCATAACGGAAATGTCATCATGACGAGCCCGTAAAGGTGCGCTTACGCATTGCCCTGCTGTTGTTAAGGTGCTGTTTTTGTGACGTTTTTGTTTCTTTTTTTTTTGGGGTGTTACGAGAAACATTTTGTGGGAAAGATGACACAGGTGTAACGAGCCAATCGCCGGAAACGCCTTTAAAAACTCGTGTAGATAAAAATATAATATTGGTTTGCCTTCATTTCTACGTATTCCATTCTAAAGGAGGTGAGAAGCCAACATATTGCTTTTTCAATCATAACGACACAGAACTAGGAATTAGGGTTCATGGAATAACCAAATATTAAGCAGGATTTTTCATAATGAACTCCTCTCCAAGCAGTTTCGCAGAAATCATCCCTGCAGTCACCTGCTTGGAGCGGAACCATCTCCTAGAAGCATCAAGAGGTCCTGCCTCAACTACGCCGACGACATAAAATAATACGCCGACCAAACTTCAGACACAACAAACTACAGACATGCACTGACAGTCATTCACAGTAGAGCCATTGACATCTACACCGACTCCCTCTCAATGAATGGCGTAATTGGAGTCAAACCACCACCCACTGCAGACGAAGCGCTCGAGTTGCCACGAGAAACGAGAATGACCCTTGCGCAACTTCGTTCGGCATAGTGTAGCAGGTTAAACTCCTACTTATCCAGAATAGACCCTGACATATTAAACATTATCTCCAGCGCGCAATGAGTCTCCGCATGGCTTTGCATGTCATGCTAACTCTACACATTTGACCCTTCTCCCCGTCGAACCTGTTGTTGACAACTTACTATATGTAGTTGTATGTGTAATCGTTGTCATACTAATAGGATTTAGGTACTCTTTAAAACAACAACAACAACAACAACAACAACATTCCTAACGAAATCTCATCTAAACGCCTAAAATTGAAATTTAAAATCTAATGTATCTTGATTCGGAATATGTTGATAGGGTAAAAAACGTATATATAGAAGTAGGTTAGGTTTTAAATGCGATGCTGTTACAATCGGCAACAGTGATCTCCCTTCAACACTTTAGTACAACGGTACGGCGTGGTACCTAAAACTCCTATATCTATATCGATCACAGGAAATTTTAAACGACCAAGCCCTTCGAACCTATCACAAAATTATTGAGATGATCATGCTCTCTGGTTCGTCGAAAGTATGACTGCCTATATGTTTCAATCTCGAAACCATGGAGAAGAAAATGTCCACTTCACCTTCTACCTCACTTCTAGAAGTACAAAACTCTGCAATCCCTTCGTTTACCCGAAGAAAGTTAAAATTTCATTGGATAAGAATCGTCACACCAACCACTAAGTATGTCTTTCCTTTCAGTTATACATAAGCAAATGATATGTGGCAATTGACCTTAACTACCGACAAATGCGCCACTCATATGTGCCACAAGGTACTCCCATGTATACACACCAAACCGAACACGTAAGTCACTCACTACCGCTCAGCATCCCTGACTTCCGGTGCTCGCAGTCGCTTTTCAATAACAAACTGCTTGCCACATTATTTTCCTCTAAAGTCTTTTCCGCCATAATGCACTGTAAATGTCCTTAAAGCCTGTCACATACGTAGCCCGCCTCACTCTCTTTGTTCGCTTTGTGTCTACAAGTCCAGGAGTCCAACTAACAACCTCAAAGTCAACTAACGCCCTCCTTCCGCTTGCACTTATGCTGCGTTGGCGTGTGCCCGTTATTGACTATGCTGTTTTTGTTGCTTTTTGCATTTATTCAATATCACTTTAGTCCATAGCTACATACATACACACATGCAGCGAGAGATATGTAATCGATTTTTGATTGAATAAATGTGCTTGAGTGCCACGTGTATGTGTGTTGGTATGTGTGCAGGGCATGTGTGCAGGGCATGTGTGTGCCCGTTATAAATTTTCCGCCTTTTCAAATATCAATAACTGTAAATATTATGAACACGTCCTGTGGCAGCAGCGGGTTAAGCTAAGTAAGCCGTGTTGCCTCCTCTCTGCCCTGCCGTCAGTCAACCTGCCACACCCACGTTGCTTTGGCACACAAATGTGCAACTAAGCTCCGACTCATATTCACTCCTTGAACCATATAATGTCTCTATGTGTGTAAAGCACCTTGCTATGTTGTATTCCACCTTGCGCACCCTTTAACCTTCTATTTTGTTCATATTGGCAACCACATGTGCCCCTGCGGTAAGTGGCATTTTGCTCCCACTTCAAGTGATTGCGGTCCTACATTGCCTCGCCGTAGTTTTTCTGCTGTCTTTAATCGATTATGCTTCTTCCGTTCTGGCTTCAGAAAAAAATATGAAAAACTGCCGCAACTGTTGGCAAACGTTTAACCCTTCGCCAGGCTCACACACACTCGCATTCATATACATATGTATATCATAACATGCGCTCAACCCCTTTCGGCAAAGCTATAAAATCGTAATTCTTATAGCCCCCCCCGGTGCGGTGGCGTATTTGCTGCGCTCAAGCAAGCACTCGTGTGTCCTCCGAGTGTGCCTTGCTTTGTGCTTCCGCTTGTCCTTCGGTTTGTTACGCCAGCTTATAAGCAGTTATTCTAGCGGCATAAATCCAAATATGATCACTTCATAATTTGACATTGATGGATGATGTGATGGATGGCTGGTCGCTGAGTTGGCTTGCCGGCTCACGCTGCTTTCTTTGTGGGTTAAGGGGTACCCTTCATTGGTTTCGTATGTGCAAACGAGCATTTGTTGCTTTTTTATATTGATTATTGTTTTAGTTGATGTTATGGTTGGTTTTGTGGTTCGTATGTTGTTGTTTCGGTTTTGATATCGTGTCATTCATCCGCATAACGGCACTTTGATGGTTTGATTTGATTCCTCACACGTTGATTGTTTCTCCGATACAATTCTTCTCTGTTGTGTTTATTTTTTGCTTCTTCAAAGACAGGATAATCAATTTAAGTTGATTCGCGACACACCCTAACCTTGGTATATTAGGTTTCTGAGAGAAGAAGAAGGAAATCTTTCGAAGTAAGAACTCAATTGTATGATTAATTTAGTTTCATTGAACTGAGTTGTTAACTCGAGTTCTTCGGAGTTCCATTGTTCATTTATCC